TGACTTAAGCCTGACCCCTGCATTTATTCTAATCATTAGGTGCTCGTAGCTTAAATTCGTTTAAAAATTGGCCGTCACATAGATGCAGTCTCGCTGAAGCACATCAGTTGCTCGATGTTCACAGGCTAAAATATGATAAAGCGACGCGATCAGTTTACCGAAATGACGTAGAGAGTTACTTTAATGCATTTTTAGTGCTCAGGCAGGTCGATAATCCGCGAAAAATTGAATGAAACCGTCATTTTCTCGACAAAAAAATGTAGTTGAATGCAGTAAGAGAATATCGAAACTGTTCGGGATTATAGAATAAATGCTAACCCTAAAAGCGAAAAGGAATTATTTAAGGCATGGGAGCGATAGTGACGACAGGCATTTTTGGCTAGAGATGGAAATCAGTAGGATCGATAAGGCAGAGAGAAAAGGTGAGTCTTAAACAATGTTCAAAGAAGCGGGATAATTGCCCGATTATCAGGAGACCCAACCTGTCATAATTCAAAACGCTAAGGCACTCACTCTGCCAGGACGGAAGACACGACTAAGGATATCTGCAATCGTCTGCAGCAAGTGTTTAAACTGTCTGCCAAGTTCGTCATTTATGACCGTTAATTCTCTTTCAGCAACAGAAATTATTATATATCGTCCTGCAAAACTATAAATCTCAAAAACTTTGCTGCACTTCAATGTAAAGAAGGCCTGCGGGGTAAATTCCTCCAGATTTAAGTGCAGTAAAACATAAAGTGCAAAAACCCGTACTCTGTTTCGTCAAATATGTGCATCAAGGTTTCCTAAGAGAATAAGTTGTGGAGTAACTGTTCTTATATTTAAAGAACTAGGGTGACTGAGTGTTCCAGTTATCGTCGAATTACATCATAATCACCTCCTGGAAAGTCAGGCGAAGGCAATAGATGTGAGACTTTGCCAAAGTCAAGCATGTTTTTAGATGGGCTATTCCATCTGAATATGATCACTGAGCAATGCTCACGATTCCATTTGCTTTGTCTTGCTAATTCTTCGGCTTTGATTCTTAATCTGGATCAGCACATGAAACGATGTGGAAAATCTTCTAATACTGCGGAACAACTGGGAGCACATTGTTTCAAGAAACCTGCTGTGCTGTCAAAGTAGAAAGAAGTTTTTTTGAGTAACATACCATTAACTGTGACGTTCGACAGTGATAGTTGATTTCGCTTGTGCTATTTAACATTGTTCTCGACCTTTTGCTTCAAAAAACGCTGGCCCTGGAAAGCACGAGGACCCGTTCTGAGGAGAAACAGCAATTCATGACATCCGACTAGATACTTGATGGCCTGGAATACGTAGACGATATTGCCATGGTGAGTAGTGCAAGGTGGGTTTGTTAATTGGCCAGCTGCGAAAGCCGCCCACTTTTGCAACGCCTGGAAAGTAGAATTTATGAGCAACGCATCCGGCATGGCTGATCTACGATATAAAGGTGGATGAAGTCTTTAAGGACGTAAAAGTTTACGAGGTCAAGTTTCTCGACTTCACCATCTCCAGCGATGGCAATGTTCATCCAAGCGTAAATCGGAGTATCGTCCCAGCCTCGAGGATTCTGAAAACCTGTCCAAAATTTGGGAT